ACTCCATTCAACAAAATTTAAGGGGTCTATTTATGTTCTAAGCACTTTGCTAGGTGCTGGCAATATAATCAGATTCTGATATATTATTATTTTTACAAAGCAAACTTGTCATATTTGGCCATTTATCCATTTTTCTAAATTATTTTGCAAATAGTTGAAATGGTACTCATACAAATACCTTTTTCTGTAAGTTGTATAAACGTATGTTCATACAGTCACCTAACCCTTGTCTCTCCTTATGGAAAATATTACTTTTTTTATTTTTCTTGCCTTCATTCAGCAATGATTTCCTATACTGAATCTCTACCAGTGAATTTCCCATCTTCCTTCAAGCTACGTTTAAAAGGAACATGGTCACCTAGGGCTAGAGACGTGGTAGAAGGAACAAACGATAGCTAAAACAACAGCAACAGCGACCAGGTATTGTGTTCTCAACTAAATGCTAGGAACATATCCCACCCATTTTCTCAGTTACTCCAGAAGATGCATGTTATTTTCACATCACATGAGAAAATCAGGTTCGGAACAATAACGTGACTCATTTAAATTCATACAAATATTAAGAGGTAGAACTGGAATTTGAATCTAGGTCTGTAGAATCCCCAGGTATATATGATTAGATGCTACACTAGATAAACATGATGATCTCTCCTTTCCGTTTGTATTTAGTAAAAGTAGCAGAATGAACAAGAAAGGGCTGGGGAGTACCCTCATCTCCGGATATGGGTTAAGGGGACTTTTTTTTGATCATCTACTCTCTGCCAGGCCATGGATGTGGTGTCTTTTCCTCTATACAGCCTCTATCAAGGTCTGAAAGGCTCCAGTCCTATGCCTCTCTGTCCTATACTGCCCAGGGTACAGTGCGAGTGGGAAGTGGATGTGAAATCTCTTCTCAGAAGAGGATCACTGCAGCGATGCACAGCGCAACAAGCATCGTTGCCCAGAATGATTCTAACTGGCTATTCTAACCATGCAGTATTTTAGCAGAAGGTAAGTTTTCCATTAAACTCTCTTTGTTAGTGACTTGGGTTGCAAGTTAGCAAAGGTTGGCTTTTGAAATGCCATAAAGCCAAGAGAGGCCATTAATAGAACAAAGCTAAGTATGCAACAGATTCTATAATACAAATAATGTGATTAAAACCTACCTGCAGAAACCTAGGAAGAAGATGGTTTGACTCAATGCCAACATATATGTGCAGCAACTCCAAGAGGGAAATGGACTGGCAAAGTCGCATCACAAGTCCAATTGCATAAAAAGTGTCAACCATTGAATCTGCGTCCAGTGAATTAAAAAAACAGATATAGTAAGTAAAATCTAGATCACAACCCAAATCCATGCAGCACTTTCAAATAAAATTCAGATTCTTTACTTTTTCATTGTACATGGGAGAAATTTCCCAAATAGATTACTAAATTATTACAAACACTGTGTAAACAAAGAAAGCACTTCATATCATTGTACATTTTAATTGCTCCTCTTCCAAACAGAATGTAAAACTTGAAAAATAAGGCTCCATGGCCAAAGCTAAAGCATTTATTCCCCACTTATGAGATTATAAAGCAAATCCCATATCAAAGTAACCAGCTAGAATCTAGACTACACCAATGAAAACAGGCTGGAGGTAAGTTTATTGCGCTCACACCTTGTCCATTGACAAGAAAATGACAGAGATGAGAAACTATGATTTCAGAGAAGCTTTATGGAAATGACATTACTGATGCCATGATATCAAACATCTTACATATATCCAGCATTTGTGAACGATATATACGTGGTTAGTGCTTTCTGGATTTTTTGTGAGTTTTAAACACAAGGACTTGGGCCCACTGCAGAGATTTCTATAAAAGAAATACTGCATTTGGAGACAGCTGAAATGGGAGGGAAACAAATGTTCCTCTAAAAAGGATAAAAGTGTTGGTTTAAATTTTAAAGTGAAATCCTGCCATGTTAAGAAACGTCCAGGGAAGTCTTGGTTGTCTTCCCTCCCTAGTTTATTATTCATAGGATAATAATTTACCAAACTCTAAGTGTTCCTCTTCTTAGCAGTTCTGTGAGGGAGACATTATCATCGTCCCTAACTCACAGATGATTCCCAAGGCACAGGCAGTCCATGCTCTTACCCACGCCCCTGCACCTGCTGTAAGAGCCTTATCCGTCTCACAGCTCTGGGAAGGAGCATGGGAGCAGGTGTCACTAGTTTAGGTGCTTGACTGCTGTTGAGCTACTTAATTCACACAATGATTCAGGAATTGTACTGAATCCCACATAGTTCTTCACAGTCTACCTTCCACACGAACGGGTTGCGCTTCTTTAATAATAAGCAGCTTCTATAATTATAATGGCAGGATAGCAATTAAGAAATAATATACTGCTGCCTAAGGCATTTTTCCCCCACTGGAAAGGCCAGGCAGCATAAGAAAGAGTTTGTTGCTTGTTGTGAATGACCTATAATATGCCCACAAAGCTACAGATAACTTCCAAGGTATAGAAATAATGATTTTTTTTTCTAAAAATATAAGAAGTCTTCCCAACGCCTGTGTTTTCCTCTGCTTGAGGATTCCCAACACTCCTAGTTGAAATTCAAGCCTCAGGTTGTATCTTTGGAGGTTGTTAACAAAGGCAGGAATTTATCTGCAGATTTGCAGTAAGAAAAAACAACATAAAACAGTTTATGGTACCTCAGAAGTAGATTAATTCTTTTATAATACAGAAGTCTGAATTGATGAGCCCAGCATGACTTTTCCCAGATATATTCTTCATAATTGTTTTTAGCTGAAACTAGCAGTTGCTCAAATTGTCAAGTCATGCAACAGTTGTCAACTGTGATGACACTTACCCATGTGGGGAAGGAAAATGAAAAGAATGTTCTTTTGACAGTCATTTAGTGATTCATTTTTTCAAAACTGAAATGCATTTAAAATCTTCACTTTTTAGGAAAGTGGAGGAAGCTTATGACTTAAACCATTAATGCTAACTCCCACAAAGGTGATGAGTCATCTAAAAAGTGTGTCATTTCCTTAGGGACACATTACCCCTTAAGGGGACCAAATAGAAGCCTGAGGAATATAAAGTTTGTCTTTCATTTGTTAGTAGTTCCCAGTTACCTCAAACCTGGGGAATAAAAAACAAGAGAAGAATTGGTTAATTCCTGGTATCTCTGCACAAAGAGAATTCTATACTGGAATTTACAGATTTCCTCAAAATACACCAAATCTGCTAAGGTTTGGTGCAGAACCAAAAAGGAATAGTGAAATGGCACCACTCCAGTGCCATGTCTGTGTTTTCAGGGCAAATGCCTACTAGCAGGAAGCCAGGCCCCTTTTCCTCACCTTACCTCCCCCCTTCTCCAAAAAGGTTTTGGTTTTTGCAGTATAAAAGAAGTACGGTTACTGGAAAATATGGCCCCTAAATTTTAGAGAAGTGAAGGATATTAGGTGACGTTCATAGAAGTTAAATTGTTAAAACCAGGACTAGGTGAAAGCAAGGATTAAAAGTGAAAAATTGAAAACTGTTAGGGCGTCTTTTTTTTTTTACCTTTTCCAAATGAAAAGAATCTGACCGTCATATTTGTAAATATCCATGAGTGGCCACAGAATTGGATTAAGTAGTAGATGAAAAGATAGGCATTCTTCCTATACCTATAATAAATACAGGAAAATACTTCTTTTAAGCACATGAAATACTTCCTTTATAATCACCCTTTCAGCATTATACACATCTTTTAACTAACTTACAGGCCAACCAAGAGACCAGCAAGAGACAACTATTCTGTATCAGGTTCTTTTATTTGGTTACCTGTCTGAAAGCACTACCTGCTCAAGCGAGCATCCAGAGTTTGTGTGAAGCCAAATATTCTATATTTCACAATCCACTTTCATCTTTGATAGAGCTCTAACCTTGCTGCTCCCCAGGGGACTAAAGAAAGCATTGCAAAGTTGTTTTTGAATGTTTTTGAAAAGAAAAGATGGATAGAGAGGGGCTGATGTGGTCACTATGTTCATGTATATTCCTGCTAAATGCAGAACTTGAACAATAACTAGTTTTATAGTTACAAGAGGGGAGAAGTGAGGGTGGCATTCCCAAGTGGTGGATAATTCAGTCATTGGACACACCTGATTTGTGAATGCATTGTGTGACTGGGGTATCTCACCACTGTCACTGCCTCCTGTTATATTTTCCAGGGGCAGATAGTGTCCTTCACCAGACACGCATAGAAAGCAATTAGTTTAGTCTCTCAGGTCAAAAAAGGGAAGTCATGCTGGGTTTTAAAATGGGTGCTGGGGAGATGACTAAGAGAAGACTGACAGATACACGTTTGAAAGAGTCAGAGAAGGCATCCTTTGAAGTGTTGCCTCTGGGTTCAGAAAAGTGGTGAGAGTGGTCCTGCCAGTGTGGACAAGGTTTTCTCCTAGTGGGAGATGTGAAACCTCAGAGAAATTAGTTAAGTAAGTTGAGAAGCAGATATAGTGTAGCTTGATTATTCTCGGGCACCCCTACAGATGACTGAAGTAAGACTAAAGGAGTAGGGAAGGGGAATTCCTCCCCTAAACCCGCATCAGAATCACCTGGCCGGTGGGTTAAACATGCACATCCCAAGGTCTACCCCTATTCCACCGAGCCGATTCTTCTGGAACTGGGCTCTGAAATCTACACACGTGATTGGTATTTATGCAGCAGGTATATAAAAACATCACCCTGCAACACTGAGTTTGAGAAAGGGAAGGGAAGGGAAAGGAAGGGATGCGGTGGCGGGTAAGGGAAGGGGTAGGGGTGGGGAGGGAGGAGAGGAGAAGGGCTGGCAGAGAGCGCACAAAAAGAAGGGTAGCCATTTGCCATTTCCTCATCTGTAAAATGGGGGAAGTAACAGTTATTCCTAAAGTTTCCGAGAGAAATGAATTGGCTAAT